GGCATGATACCAGCTCACTGAAACCTCCACCTCCGTAATAGTTCAAGCGATTCTCCTGCCTCAGCCTCCTGAATAGCTGGGATTACAGGCGTGCACCACCACACCCGGCTAATTTTTGTATTTTTAGTAGAGATGGGGTTTTGCCATGTTGGCCAGGCTGACCTTGAACTCCTGACCTCGTGATCCACCCACCTCGGCCTCCCAAAGTGCTGGCATTACAGGCGTGAGCCACCGCGCCCAGCCAATGGCCTTCCTTTTCTTCCTCAAATACATCCACCTCACTCTTGTCTCAAGGTTTTTGAGGCCACATTCCTGGCCTCAGCCAGCCTCAGCCTTCCAAAGTGTTGGGATTATAGGCGTGAGCCACCGTGTCCGGCCCCATATCAGTTTTTTAACCACTTGTCAATATTACGAATGTAATTAAAATTCCTGAGAATTTATGTGTGTGTCTGAAGTGCACAAACAATCCCAAACTTTCTTCAACTATAGAGGTTTCTCCTGATATTTTGAATAATGGGTCATATGCTATAATATGATTCGCAATTTAAAATATACTATGCAAATTATACACTGATTCATGATCCTTATAACATTTTATTTTTTCAATAGAGTTTATTTTCTCACATGTAAAAATCCTACTGAGGTAGAAATGGCTTTAAGAAAGTTTAAATATGTTAATTACTTTGAAATCCAATCTAAAATAACCTTATGGGGGCTTTTGGAACTATTTAAATTTTCTTAATGATTTATGTCTGCTTCATCTTTGATAAGTGTTTCTTAAAAGGCTGTTTCTTTAAGATATGCATTCTGCTTAAACAGCTCATTCATTCTAAGAGGCTTGTGTTTGTTCACTTGTTATGCTTATGATGGAAAGATTTACCACCATTCTCCTCCTCCCAAATAAAATAAATAATAAGGTTATTTATTTTAAACTTAAAAAGTAAGGCCAAAAACATTTCCCTTTAGGACTGACTGTGTACTTCAAGTAGATGCAAACAGAGTAGAAAAACAAGATGATTAAAGATCTTGGTCACTTTAAAAGGTTACCTGAGGGGACTTTATTTTAAGGTTATTATGTGAGTAGTACCTTAAAAAGAAAGGAACAAAATACCTGGGGAGCAAGAAGGAAGGAAAGGAAACAGCAAAGAAGGACTCACATGTTATCATTCCTTTCATTTCTGTTTCTCAAATAATTTTAACAAATAGATAAAGGGACAAATGTGGAATTTAACCTTGAGAAAACCATTAATGTGATAATGACTTTTAAGTTACTGAGTTACTGATTCAAACCTCTCCTTAACCCAGTAGTGAAGAAAAAAAAAAGAAATTGTAAATGGGCTTGATTTTTAAAGAAGGTTTTTCTTTTCTTTTTTTCCAGCCAACTGGGCATTCTTAAATCTCTTTCTTCACCATCACAATAGGAATTAGGCCTAAGAATTATAAGTTTATACAGACATAAACAGAGAGGGAAGGAAAAGTTTAACAAGAGTTATCAAATTAACAAACGTACTTACATATGTTCCAACAACACATTATTTAATTTATTTTCATCTATGATCAGGTAGAAACCAGAAGAAACATTTGTAGCTTAATAAATAATTTAATTTCTTGAATTTCTATGTAACATATAAATTTATTTTTACAGGATATATAGAGAGCATACTCATAGAGAGCAACAGACTTATGAAACGACTATAAAACACAAATTATAATTTGAGTTTAAAATTTCTCATTTTTACACTTGTATTTGTCTATTTTCCTATTGCTAGTCAAAGCAAAACCAAATATATAATTGTAAGTATTCTAAGAAAAAAAGGAGCGCCTCCATCACCTACGCATGAGTTACATACATTCTAGATTGTACAAAATCAAGAGGGTAGGCAAAACTAAAGGGAAACACTATATAAAAATGCACTTTTTACTGACTGTTGAACAGATCTGAGAGTGTCTAAGTTTCAAATATGACTTGAACACCAGCAGAGGAAAATGACTCCATCAATTTTCCTATTTGGGTTCCCTCAAACTCTGAAACTGTAAAAGTTTTTGCAGTTCAATAGCAGATTATGTGAACATACCTCCACTACTTTGGTGGGAAGAATACACTAAGGATTCTAGTTAAGAGGAGCATATACTGCAAGGAATATGGACAACGACCCATGTATCCTAACATTAAGATGTCTTCATCCCAGTTGAGAATTAACCTAAATGGTCACATCTGATCTCCCCAAATTTAATCTCTCATTGACTAGTAAAGATAGATCCAAATTACTTTGCCACATTTTCATGCACTATGTAATAATGTCATTTCACATTAAATCTTTTTTTAATGACACAGCATGCCCTTTGAAACTTAATGTTATCTGGATTATGAAGGTTAAAATTTACACATCAATATTACATGTAATATTCTCAAGTTCATGTGCAGTTTTTCCGATTCTATTCATTTAGTAGTGGAGAGAACATAGTGTAATGATTTTTTAAGAGTGATTGCCTTTGTTAAAAAGAGAATGCGCTTCAGACTTACAGACCATGGGGGAATGCATCATTGAAGATAGTGAATGGTAGAAAAAACAATAGTACTTTACTTACTTTAATGAAGAATTCAGAAACATGAGTTTGTCAGTGGACCCAGAGGCTATTTAGAGAAAAATTTTCCAATGAGCAGGAGAAATACACACACACACACACACACACACACGAAGACTTGTTTTACGTTCTGAGCCTGGAAGGAAGAAATGATACTTGATAGAGGATTGGAATTGAGCTCCAATTTTTTTACATCCAAAATGACATCCATTTTCTATGAATGTGATGGAAATTTGATGATGATAAGGCACATTCCTTTAGGATTAGGATTAACTCATCATCATCATATCGTCCTTCTCTTGCTTTATTCAAATTTAGTTAGATCTTACAGCTCCTTGTGACAGTATCTCAATTTCTTAACAGAGAATAACCTTTCACCTTGCTACCAATCACAAGTAAAAGGTAAAACTTAGTAACTACTACCTAACTTTATTCTCAAAATTCTTCATATTCCTCCAAAGTCATATCATAAGTTATGAAACTGGCAAAACCATAATTGCTGAAAATCAAATATATAGCCACTTCTAAATCTTTGCATAAAAAAACTTGGTGGGATTTTCTTTTTTTTAGAAAAACATGTCAAATGTTTATTTCTTCTTTTCCCGGACGGGTGAATTCTTAGTTATGTTGTAGGAAAAATAATTAAACATAAATCCCAAATAAATTTACTGAAATAAGACATCATTGTCAAATTACATAATTTCACATTCACCCCAAACTATTTTTAGAATGGGTGAAGACATGAGTAAGATTATCACAACAATGATAGCCAATTAGTTTTTATGTGAGCATGAATTATTTGTCATCATACAAAATTTTTGTTTACAGTATGCTAGGTCTCCCACAAAGTCAGGCCATTTTGGAAGGAGACATGTCTCTAGTAGAACACCAATTATCTCCCGAGTTTTTATGAATGAAGGTAGAGAGTGGTAGACAAAACAATGCCTGCAAGATATGTGGGTTTATCTGAATATCAGTTTCTGAGAATACCTTCTAAATCCAAACACCAGTAGCTTTTTAGGTGATAGATATCTTGAGACTCACACCCAGACAAACACCGTTTTGCACACATTAACAATTTTATCTGGAACTTCAAGGGCTTTGTTATTTTATTCCTTTTTATAGACCCAAGGTACCCTTGAACCCAAGATTAAGATCTGCTATTAAGGATAGTCAAACTTTGATTATTGGTTACCTTCTTTGTTCAGAACAATAAAGTGTAAAGGATTCATGATAAAGCAAGGAATAGCCTCTGCTTCCATTGACAAGCTTCTCCTTTTAGGGATTCTAGTTGCATCACCATCTTTTGGTAATAATTGTATAAACTGTTAGAAAAGTTCCTCAGCAACAGGGAATGTGTGTCTGTCTGTAGATGGGATTACTAACCTATTTAATAATATTTCACCTTTATTAATCAGCTATGTCAAAAATAAGATTAATGACCAAGCAAGTTCAGATCAGAGACAGGAAGGGATTTTCCCCTTCTATGTCTGTGTATTCTCTTACTTCCAGTCAGTCATTTCATTTGTATAATGCTGATGCTATCCTTTGAATTTCAATATGCTTTCTTCTGGGACTAATGATACAAAACTTAACCTAATAAATAAAGAAATTAATCACAAGATTAAAAAAAAATACTCCTTAGAAAAAAGAGAACTAGGGCATCATTCCAGAATCCAAAAATAATTCACAAATGTATGAATCGATGTTTTCCTAGAAATGGTGATCTTAATTTATATAAACGATATCTGAAAAGTTAATGACTATTCTAGGATAAACAAGATTACAGTTTAGGGGTTGGCTCTCAGTTAATATTTGTTCTTGTTATAAAATGCTAGATAGTAATGAAATATGGAAGAAACCAGCCTCTATATTTTAAGATTAAGCTGATAGGGTCCAAATACATATACTATGAAGAAAGTAATAATCACAAAGTGGTTTACTGTTTGAGCAATCGAGTGTTTAGCTATAGAAATATAGTAGATTCAGGTCTCTTAACTCATTATGTCTCAGATTTGTTTCATAGAATTGATCTAAACTTAAATCAGCTGTCTACATGAGATACAAATGTCTTCTCTGCCCACAGGAGACCTAAGGAATGGAGTACAAATTAAATAAGCAAAAGTTTGAGCACCAGAATAAGGGGTAGGATGCTCATAAGCAGCAAGTAGAGGTTACACTAAAGAACCAGATGATCTTTAGAATCCACAACGTGTCGTTCAGAGCTCGAGCGGCAAATTATGAAAAACAGGCAATACCAAACATCACATATGTCCAAGTCTGGAAGTCCATTCTCTCCCCCAGCTTGGCTAACATATTCACACTTTCAACTGTGTTTTTACAACTAGAATATTCTCATCCCCCACAGCCCCCACTGAAAAAAGCGAAGGATGAAACCTAAGCACTAGGGGACATCGATTTTTTTCTTTTTATTGTGAGTTCTAACAGAACTTTTGTTAAACACAGAGCACGTGAACACATGACAGTTTCCTTCATTTGTTCTCACATGGAGCTGATAGAGGAATACTTGGGAGGAATGTTTCTAAAGCCATAGATAGCCTCTTTTGCATTTATTTCATTTTTTAAATATGACAAAGCATTAGAGGAAAAAGAAGTTTCATAAGTTGTGAGAATATCAAATATTACCCATCAATCCCTGAATCATGCTATTCAAAGTGCTTAAATCTACACTAAAAAGAGAACAAAAAATGTACTCCCAATGCAGCTAAATTAATGCCTATGGATGCCTAAAATATGACTGTGGTCTGATTACTTCCTCTACATTTATTCCACACTTCCATCGTGCACTGAAAAGAAAAATTAAAAAACAAAGAGATAAATGAGGCCATTGCCATGTTTACAGTTTTCTGAGCACTGGGGGGAGTTTGGAATCCAGTCCAATGAGGTACACTGCCACCAGTCCCTGACAGCTGTCCATAGTACAAAGTAAACAACGGCCTTCTCAGATTCTGAAAATAACCCAATGTGCAAAGCTGACCTTAAAGTTGTATGTGTCCTTGCAGCTTCAGTTCTGGTTTGTGAAAATGTGACACAGATCCAAGGGGAGAGCACGGGAATAAAGAACAGATTGTAGAGAAGGACCCAGGCGAGTTGTCAGGGAAATAAACATTTTTTTAAGCAAATAATAATCAATGCACATCCCAAGGCTCCTTTACCTTGTCACACAGATACTGAGAACTTTTCATTGTTCCAAATGCTTATACTTCTTCCTCATATATTTGCAAATTAATCTCACCTTCCCCAATGAACCCCATTGCAGTTTACACTTTTGTGTGTGTGTGTGTGTGGCCACCTTACTATTGTGACCAAAGTGTAGAATTGTTTTCTCATTAAATGGTGGTAGGAATAAAGCAAACATACAATAGTCACTACACAGGCCCACAGATGATGACTGGGATGAGAGTTCCTACAATGAATCACTAAATTAATATATAAGTTCTATTATCAGTGTTTTTATCACATTGATTTTTTTAAAAACTAAAAGCTACATAGGTAATAGTTCCTTTTAACAACTCTGCCCTCTGCAGATTCCTTTGTGATTGATTTTGCATCAACCTTCACATGAATATGAATTAGCTGCTTATGTCATTGATTTCAAACATAAAGCTAAATGGTAAGGGATGAATTTCTTGGGAGCATCAGCTTTCTGTTTTCTGAAAGATAGAATTACATAGCTAAAATAAAGCAAATTCTTTATACAGTAAAATTAATTATTTTAAATACTTTCTGATCTAATTTAAAAACTATTTTGTATAAATAATGTTTATTTTGAAAATACTGATCTCTGTTGGTATTCATATGTTTGACCTCCTGAGTTCTTAAACACCTTGATATTAATAAATTTTGCTTATGTTCACAAACTGAAACCACTTAATTCTTAATGTAGTGTTGAAAATTAAATACAAGCGAGTTAACATTTAATTACAAGGGGGTCGCACAAGAAGTTTCACAGATTTTCTCTGACTCTTTAGAAAATAACATTTTGTATAATACAAGGTGACAAAACATTTGATGACACATCCTGTCCTTCCCTTTGGTTTGGAAGCCTTCAGTGTAAATTTCATTTTGACTTGCGTTGATTCACTCTTTTGAATTAACTTGCCTGGCATTTGCACATAATCTCATTTGCAGAGAAATTATAGAGGGAAAAGAGGAAGTAGAATATTAAACAAAAACAGCCACAAACACATTCATGCCTTTCCAGGAAGTGATCAAATATAGGGCTTGAATTTTTTTTTGTTGTTGTTTTTTTGTTTTTTTTTCTTTTTTTCGTTTTGTTTTGTTGTTTTTATATATATTTATATTTATATATATATATGTATATATATATAAGGGTACATCAACTCATTTAAAAAACGGAAATAACACTCTTCCCCAATTTCATGCCCTTGATCTTCTCTTCTTAGCACTCTGTAGTGGTCACTGTGAAGTGATTAGCACACCTTTGGGTCTAGAGTGTATTCTGAAGAGCAGTGACTTAAATGTTAAGACAGTTAGACCCGCCCCCACCCCTCCACAGAGTTTACACATCATGCTGCCGTTAGAAAGGTAGAGGTGGGGAATGAGGTGGGACAAGGAAGAGATTCAGGGCTCTGACTGGTGGGGCCCTCTTATGAACAAGTGTTCTTCTCATCTTTTTTTTTTTTTTTTTCCCCCAAATGGCAATGCTGGCATTTGTTGCATTGTTCTCTGAAGACCGATGTGGCCCAGTTGATCCTAGGCAGAACCCGAGAAAGAATCCGGTGCTCCTTGTCCCATTGGATAGATTTGTCCAAGCACCCCAAGGAAATGTTAAAAGCAAAGTAAAACTTTAAAAAAGGAAATAAAATAAAAACCCATTCTAAAACTAAACTAATGAAGCAAAAAAAGGGTTTTCTATCTACACATCAGTCTCTTCTTTAAAAAAAATGTAAATTTACAAATTCCAACGACATATAAAACAAAGTCAAAAAATGTAATGGTAAAAGACATGGTAAAACAGGAGGACACTGATGCTACAAAGAAATTCCAAAAAACATATGTACAAGACCCTGTTTTTCCTCGTGTTCTAGAGATTGTAATGCATGTTTTTTTTTAACAGCAGCAGTCGAGGATTTAGTTCCAGGCACTGGACTGCAGATTCCACTCAAGCTCCCAGGGACGGGATGCCCCTTGCTTTTCTGTCACCAAATCACACTGGATATACTGGTCTCCCTTGGCAACAGCGGCAGGATGGCACTGTTTGTGTGGGCCTCATCTGGATTCTGCTCTCTGCTCGATTTTGTCTGTGGCCGCTGCCCGTTGATGAGTGTCATAGGGATGTTACAGTAGGTATGCTGATTGCCTATGGAGGTAAGAGGCAGGGTGCCGGTAGGAGGTACGTCATACTCATAGCTTCGGTAGTAGTGTTTCTGACGCATTTGTGAATGGTACGTGTTGTGAAAGGTAGAACGGAGATCTGGATGGGCAGTGGCTAGAGCGGTGGAGGTGGCTGCGGCCATGGAAATGGCCGAGACAGTCTGCAGCTCCCCAAAAGGCCCTTGCTCACTGACATCTAAAGCCTGCTCATGTGTAATGGGTTCTATCCTCTTAAAAGGCATTTCGTACTGTAAACGTTTCCAGAACTTAGAGTTCAACTTGTTGCATTTTGGTCCATGCCATTTAATGACCGTCAGAAGCTTGATGGTGTGCTTGAGGGCCTCCACCTCCTGGTAGTTCATAATTCCTCTCAGTTCACTGCATTCAATTAGAATCACTTTAATTTCTCCAGTCACAAGCATATTTCGAAGTCTGGTTTCCAGCTCAAAGATGCTCCAGCCCCTTCTAACTACATAATTTGGGGTCATGACAATAATCAGCCGCTTGCTTTGATCTACACATCTTGCCACATCTTCAATGTAGGCTACAAAAGATAAAAGAGTGCATCAGAATGAGTGAATGGAAAATTTGGTCCAGAAAGTCCTAGTAGATTCTCTTTCAGAAATTAAATGAAAATAGTTCACTGAATAGAGTTTGGGACTTGCTTCTCCTAACGTCAGCAATATTTTTTCCTGGTACAAATCTCTCATTTGGTTTCTTTCAATGTCAAGGCTCACAAAATGAGATGCTTTATACAGTAATGGAGTATCTTCTCTGAGCTAGCAAAAATTAAATTTCATGTGAACACACACAGACATTTCTTTCTAGGGAAACTAACAGATACAAATTTTGAAGTAAAGAACCAAACATTAAAATTCCATGAAAAAGTGATGACTACACAGACACTCACATGAATATGCACACTCTCAAATGAAAACATTAACTTACTTCCAGTTGGGATTAAATCTCTATCTGGTATAAACAACTTGTATCCATAATGCTTTTCAAGCATATCAGGTAGGATTTCAAGGGCAAAACGTTCTTCTTCCCCAGTCTCTTGATTCCACTGGTCAGGATCCACTTTGGTGTATGATAAGTATGCATCATAATCTTTATTGTCTGTTAAAAAATTCCAAAGAAAAGTCGAAGTCACTACTCTACAAAGATAACAATAGGACATGAAAACATGCACGCTTTTTTCATAAACATCTCCAAATGTCCCATTTCTGAAAGACCAAAAAAGGAAGCCTTCATTAATTTTCGTTGAGTTCAATGATGTCAAATATTCTAAAACTAGTTTGGAGGTACAAAGGTTTATATTTTGATTTGTTGATGACGTTGTTGTTGTGAAAAAAGTAGGAGAAAAATCAATGAGAAGAGCAATGAAATGCAGACTTCCTTTTTTTTTTTTTTTTTTTGAGACACACTCTTGCTCAGTCGCCCAGGCTGGAAGTACAGTGGCGCGATCTCGGCTCACTGCAACCTCCGCCTCCCAGGCTCAAGCCATTCTCCTGCCTTAACCTCTCAAGTAGCTGGGATTACAGGTGCCCACCACCACACCCGGCTAATTTTTATATTTTTAGTAGAGATGGGGTTTTGCCATGTTGGCCAGGCTGGTCTTGAACTCCGGACCTCAGGCAATCCACCTGCCTCAGCCTCCCAAAGTGCTGGGATCACAGGCGTGAGCCACTGCACCCAGCTGAATTTCACCATTTTTGATCCACAGATCACAGAGAATCCTGATTGCTTGTAAAAGCCGTATGCTTGGATATCAGTATGCTCTTACTTTAAATGTTATTATGTTCAATTGATCCTACCCTTGGCCATTTTACCCAGTTGAAAAAAGAGAGAGAAAACGGCAACTGACTTAACTGTGGAGGAATGATTTTTTAGATTATGTGTGCTGTGTTGATTTTCTGTTGGGGAGAAAATCAAACCAAACTTGGGATAATTTTTTACTGGGAGTCAGTTCTTGCATATTGGGACTGAGAATATTATTAAAATGAATGATTATAAAAAGACATGATTTTTCTGGTCTCCACTCATCTTACACATAAAACATTGCCAAGTTATTTTTCATCATGCTAATCAGTTTGTTCATAAGAATCAAAAAGTAGAATGTAAATAAAAGAAACTTAGTTCTAAAATCTAATTTCTCTCCTTACTTTTCCCCCCTTTTTACATGAGAAAATTTTAAATGTTTGAGGACTACTATCATTTGTTATCTTTATCTTAATTTTTCTAATATAGCATCTCAGATTTCTCATTTGTTGTTTCTAAGAATAAGAAATAGACTATCCTCTGGATAGTCTTTCTTTCATCAATTTCTTTTTTAGACTAAGATATCAAGATTCATAGTTCACTGAAATTTTAAATACTGTCGATATGCTGAGTCTACCAATATCAACGTCTTTAGCTCTCTACTGCGCTTCCCTGATGATAGGCAGTGTATTACCTGATGATTAGATCAAGTTAAATTGAAACACTCATACATTTCAGAATAAAATGAACTCTGCATTAAGCATAGAACTTAAAATATTTGGGCTATAAAACATCAACGATAGAGGGACATTCCTGACCATTGTTCTGGGTGGCTTTGGGACAATCCTTTTGACTTCAAGGACACTAAAACTCACTTCCTGAGACTTATACATGTGTGTTAATTCCAGTAGTCTGATAACTTTGAGCTATCTAGAAATCATTCTATGATTATAACTTTTCAGGGCAAACTCAGAAAAGTGTTTTCTACATGTAAAGTTAACACAGGTATATAAGGCACTAACAACTCCACTATAGGATACCTGGAATAAAAACTTTAGCTATAGAAGAGTGTTTTAAAAAGCAGCTTTTAGGGGAAAAAAGTTTTAGAGAAACAATCATACCAAATGTGTCATATTTTGGCATTTCTTATATTCTTTAGGCAGGATATAGTTGTACATTTTAAAAAACAAAATCCAGTTTTCTCCAAAAATAATTATTATATTTGCTATAGCAAGGCTATATGCCCATAGGCCAGTACAATCTATAATTGTACCACTCATTGATGTAAACACTTTAGTTGAGTAAGGAATCATTTAAAAAAAAACACACACACAATAAAGCCAGTATATAAGTTAATATTTCATTAAAATACTCATTCATTAACTATTCACATGCATTACCTGTGAGATATTAAACTTTCTTTACAATATTGGTCATTAGTTTCTAGCCTAGTAGGAGATGCAGACAAATCAATAGTTCATTCCTAAGAGATGAATGTGTCACTAAGTGTAGTTCAGGAGTCACAGGCTAATGGGAGGACTCTTCAGGCCAGATTGTGGATTGTAGTATTATTTTGGGCATGTGCTATTTTCTTTCTGGTAATTTGTTCTTTTCCAGTTTGCCACAAAGTAGTGCAAAGTGTTGAAACTCCCCTAAATTGGGGTTGTGTAATAATTAGATCTTCGTTCATTGCCTCATGTCTTCTCTAGGCTTAAGATTATTTTAAAGCCATATCAACACGAACACCAGTCAGAACAGAGCATTCAGAAATCAGAAGAGATGTAAACAACTGGTCCACCCATACCGAGAAATTTCAGATAAATGCCACCTTTGCTGACATAACATTATGTTTTTGATTACCCTGCTTCTTTCATGGAAACCTCTCTTCCAACCCATAAATACCGTCTTTCTGCAAGATGTTTTCTGCGGTCCACTTCATTTTTCTTTCAGCCCACTTTCCCTTAAAAATATCCTTTCCTTCCATAACATCAACTTCCATAACATCACTTCTGTGTAGATGCCTCCTCAATTTGGATGCATGATCCTGTTCTATTTCTCCTGAATTATGACAGTACCCCAATCCTACCTGTAACCTGAACACCTTAATTTGCATTTTCATCATGCACCTCACACTTCACATGCTCACAACACAACAAGCTTCCCATCTCAAGCTCTGTTCTTCATCTTTTATTACATTTTAATTTTAGTAACATAAAAATCTCATTTCTTTAATGTCCAAACTTCAGATGCATGTTCTACCTATCCCTTATCTTTATTAATAATCTCATTGCCATTCATTGGTACAAATCTATTGGATTCTATTTCCATCCTAGGTTAGGCTCTACTCATATCTCAGCTGTTATAATTAGAGTGGTCTTCCCTTTCCATTTCTTTCTCCTTCTGGAGAATAGAGTCACCAAATTTACCTTCCCAGAGCTTACCACTGACCATGTGTTATGGTGGCTTAAAAATATATCTGTGTTGGCCGGGCGCGGTGGCTCAAGCCTGTAATCTCAGCACTTTGGGAGGCCGAGACGGTGGATCACGAGGTCAGAAGATCGAGACCATGCTGGCTAACATGGTGAAACCCCGTCTCTACTAAAAAATACAAAAAACCAGCCAGGCGAGGCGGTGCGTGCCTGTAGTCCCAGCTACTCGGGAGGCTGAGGCAGGAGAATGGCGTACACCCGGGAGGCGGAGTTTGCAGTGAGCTGAGATCTGGCCACTGCACTCCAGCCTGGGCGACAGAGCGAGACTCCGTCTCAATAAAAAAAAAAAAAAAAATATATATATATATATATATACATATATATATATATCTGTGGCTACTCATTGTGTAAATAATCAGCAGCTGCAATTTTAGCTTGTTTTCCTTGAAGTTTAGTCTGATTTCCTCAGTTGGAAGCGATATTTTTCCCATGTATTATATGATTGTGCTTATATCTTATCTTCTCTCTTAGACTATGAGATCTTTAGCTCAGGTATGTGACCAGGGCTTAGTAGATGCTCAAGTTTATCAGTTGATGAAATGAATGAATGGCCTGTCATTTTGGCATCACATGACTCACACCCTGTAGCTAATTTTGAGATTTTTCTCAAGACCCTGATCATTTCTCAGGAGAGACTGCTTTGGAGATGTAGACTCCATGCTGCTCTGACTTCTGAAGGAATTACTGGGAGCTGTGGTTCAGAGTTTAGCAAGGCTCCTTTGGAATAGTCTTGAACTGTGGCTTCTCACCGTGATTCATGAAAAGACCTTAGGGTCTGTGTAAATGCCTCTAGGAAAGTGGTTTTCAGACTTGAGCATGAATGACAATCATTTGGAGGGCTGGGCCCCACCTCTAGATTTCTCATTCAGTAGGTGAAGAGTTAAGTTCCTAGAATTTATATTTATAGCAAACTCTCAAGAGATGCTGCTGCTGATTGAGGGACCACACTTCGATAAACTGTTATAGAACAGGATATAGGCATGCAGAGGTCTCAATGACACAAACAACTGCAGTTATCTGCCAGGTATTTGACCACACCATCATAAAAACTAAACCTTGCCCCCTCAGCTCCATGATAGATGGTCCTAATACTTAGAGGAGATATATTCCCAATAAATAGCTGAGAATTCATGTTTTTATCAAAAAGGGGATAAATTTTTGCCTAGACTAATATATGAAGTAACCATATTAATCCTAAATGAAATTTAGGAATTGGTGCTATGACATCAGTTAGTTTTCTATTTCTTTATGTCATCTGGATGTATTTATAGCACTTAAGTTAATATCTCCCAGTCATAATGGAGTTGTTTCCAAGTAGATTATACTGTTCGTACAAAGCCTCTTTCAAGCATCTGCAGCACCATCCTCAAACCAATGGGACACTTGAGTGATATCTAATTTCTCTCTTTCTCCAGAGTCTGCATCAGTGCAGTAATGGGTTAGGCATTTATTTACCACCAGAAGCAAACCCATGATTTGAAAGTCGTCAGACTGGAAACAGAGTGCCAGATGCCATACTAAATTCAGGAATGTCTTTTGACTCAAAATCATATGGACTCTAAGGTGTCTTCCCTTTTTCAATTGCCAACTGTATATGCATCTTGGATAGTATGTCTTAGATTGTTTTGATATAAGTAAGAACATAAATTGACATATTTTAATGTGTATGAACTTCATGCGACTAGTGAAACTGTGAAAAGCTGACATTTTATAACCATGAAAAACTAAATTATGCTAATATTTTTAAAGGACAAGGCTAGGATAATTTAAATTCAACTTTCATTTATAAACAGCTTAAAAGTAGTTATAGGTTGGTATAAGAATCTATTTCTTATTCTGAGCTTTATTCTCAAAATCCTCTGTAATTTA